TAAACAAGCAGAATTAAACTGACAGCAGCAGTGCTCATCAAGTGCACTGGGTTTGCATAAAGTGAATATTGCAGTGATGAAGTAAATTAAAGTCGTATAAAATGATGACAGTAGTATGAAGTGCATACTGCCACAAGGTAAGCAGTTATACATCATGTGGACGTACAGAGTTCAGTGAAAACGTCCAGTTCAGTGTAGTCATGTTAGAGAGTCATTTACAAGCCTGATAGCATGTTGGTAAAAACTGTTCATCAGCCTGTTGTTCTAGATTTCACACTTCTGTAGCTCGTGTCTGATGAAGTGAAGTGAGCATCCTGTGTGTGTCTGACTCTGATCACATCTCTCATGAGTTATAGCTGCTGGTTTAGCACACACAGCATGCTGAGAGGAGAAAGTATTCCCATCTTCCTTTTGTTTCTAGATGTTTCTTTTGTCATGGGCAAAGTCCGTTAGAGAGATGTATCATTTTACTGTCAAGTGAGTTGCAGCGGTTTTCCTGTTTCTCAACTCAACTCAACTTTATTTATAGAGCACTTTAAAAACAACCACTGCTGACACAAAGCACTGCACATCAAGAATAAATATATATATATAACATAAAACAAACAATTAAAACAATAACAACTATAAAATGATAAAGACAAGAGCAAAGTCTCAAGCTGTGTCAATAGCCAAGGAGTAAAAGTGGGTTCAAGATGAGTTTTAAAAATATGCAGTGAAGGGGCCTGTCTAATGTGCAAAGACAGATTGTTCCATAATTTATGAGCAGCAGTAGAAAAAGCTCTGTCCCCTCTGAGCTTCCACTTGGATTTTGGTACCTCTAGGAGCGCCGGGGAGCGTCTGGTGGCCGAGCCTTGGGGCCTCGTGGGGCTCGGTCGGGCACAGCCCGAAGAAGCTACACAGGGCCACTTCCCCAAGGACCCACCACCCTCGGGGAAGAGGATTGGGGTCGGGTGCTATGCCCACCGGGTGGTAGGCAGGAGCGGGCGTCCTGGCATACCGCCCCCTGGTGGCGTAGACTAGCTCTAGGGACATGGAATGTCACCTCACTGGCGGGGAAGGAGCCTGAGCTGGTGCGGGAGGTGGAGCGCTTCCGGCTAGATATAGTCGGGCTCACCTCCACGCACAGCAAGGGCTCCGGAACCATACTCCTGGAGAGGGGTTGGACACTCTCCTTTTCCGGAGTTGCTCACGGTGAGAGGTGCTGGGCGGGTGTGGGGATACTCACAAGCCCCCGGCTGAGCGCCGCCTTGTTGGAGTTCTCCCCAGAGAGCGAGAGGGTCGCCTCTCTGCGACTGCGTGTTGCAGAGGGGAAAACTCTGACTGTTGTTTGTGCTTATGCACCGAACAGCAGTTCGGAGTATTCGGCCTTCTTGGAGTCACTAGGTGGTGTCCTGGAAGGGGTGCCGCCCGGGGACTCCATCGTTCTCCTGGGGGACTTCAATGCTCACATGGGCAATGACGGTGAAACCTGGAGGGGCGTGATTGGGAGGAAAGGCCTGCCCGATCTGAACCCGAGCGGTGTTTTGTTTTTGGACTTCTGTGCTAGCCACGGATTGGCCATAACAAACACCATGTTCAAACATAAGGTTGCTCATAAGTGTACTTGGTACCAGAGTACCTTAGGCCAAAGGTCGATGATCGACTTTGTTCAACTGATCACCACCTGGTGTTGAGTTGGATTTGATGGCGGGGAAGGCTGCCGGACAGACCTGGTACACCCAAACGCGTAGTGCGGGTGAACTGGGAACGTCTGGCAGAGGCCCCTGTCCGTGGGATTTTCAATTCCCACCTCCGGAAGAGTTTTTCCTGCATCCCGGGAGAGGTTGGGGACATGGAGTCAGAGTGGTCCATGTTCAAATCCGCCATTGCAGAAGCAGCCGTTAGGAGCTGTGGCCAGAAGATCACTGGTGCCTGTCGCGGCGGCAACCCCAAAACCCGCTGGTGGACACCGGCGGTGAGGGAAGCTGTCAGGGTGAAGAAGGAGACCTTTCGGGCCTGGTTGGCTCAGGGGTCTCCTGAAGCAGCAGGCAGGTACCGGCTGGCCAAAAGGGCTGCAGCTGCGGCTGTCACGGAAGCAAAAACTCGGGTGTGGGAGGAGATCGGGGAGGCTATGGAGAAGGATTTTCGGTCGGCTCCGAAGAAGTTCTGGTAAACCGTCCGACGCCTCAGAAAGGGGAGTCTGACCCAGACTGGGGACCTCATCAAGCGGTGGAAGGAGCACTTCGAGGAACTCCTGAACCCGGTTAACACGTCCTCTGATGCAGGGGCAGAGCCTGAAGACTCGGGGGCTTCTGCGTCCATATCCGTGGTAGAGGTCACCGAGGTAATTAAGACGCTCCCCGGTGGCAAAGTGCCAGGTGTGGATGAGATTCGCCCTGAGATGCTGATGGCTCTGGACATTGTCGGACTGTCATGGCTGACACGTCTCTTCAATGTCGCGTGGGCATCGGGTACAGTGCCTGTGGAGTGGCAGACCAGGGTGGTGGTTCCCATTTTTAAAAAGGGAGACCGGAGAGTGTGTGCCAATTATCGAGGTATCACACTTCTCAGCCTCCCTGGGAAAATTTACTCTAGGGTGCTGGAAAGGAGGCTTCGGCCAATTGTCGAACCTTGGATTCAGGAGGAGCAATGCTGATTCCGTCCTGGTCGTGGAACAGTGGACCAGCTCTTTACCCTCGCAGAGCTGCTGAGGGGGGCATGGGAGTTCGACCTGACAGTCCACATGTGCTTTGTGGATCTGGAGAAGGCCTATGACCGTGTCCCCCGAGAGACACTGTGGGGGGTACTGAGGGAGTATGGGGTACCGGGCTCGCTGCTACGAGCCATACGGTCCCTGTACAACCAAAGTGCGAGCTGTGTCCGCATTCTCGGCAATAATTCGGACTCGTTCCCAGTAGGTGTTGGACTCCACCAGGGCTGCCCCTTGTCACCGATCCTGTTTGTGGTTTTCATGGACAGGATCTCAAGGCGCAGTCAGGGAGAGGAGGGTGTCCGGTTTGGGAACCTCAGGATCTCGTCTCTGCTTTTTGCAGATGACGTGGTACTGTTGGCTCCATTAGACCGTGACCTCCAGCACTCACTGGAGCGGTTTGCAGCCGAGTGCGAAGCAGCAAAGATGCGGATCAGTACCTCCAAGTCCGAGGCCATGGTTCTTTGCCAGAAACCGGTGGACTGCCACCTCCGGGTGGGGGGGGAGTTGCTTCCTCAAGCGAGGGACTTTAAGTATCTCGGGATCTTGTTCATGAGTGATGGGAAAATGGAGCGTGAGATGAACAGGCGGCTCAGTGCAGCATCAGCAGTAATGAGGGCGCTGTACTGGACCATCGTGGTGAAGAGAGAGCTGAGCCGCAAGGCGAAGCTCTCGATTTACCAGTCCATCTACGTCCCAACCCTCACCTATGGTCATGAGCTTTGGGTCGTGACCGAAAGAATGAGATCGCGGATACAAGCGGTCGAAATGAGATTCCTCTGCTGGGTGGCTGAGCTCAGCCTTAGAGATAGGGTGAGGAGCTCAGACATCCGGAGGGAGCTCGGAGTAGAGCCGCTGCTCCTTTGCATCGAAAGGAGCCAGTTGAAGTGGTATGGACATCTGGTTCAGATGCCTCCGGGGAGGCTTCCTCTGGAGGTTTTCCAAACTCGTCCACCTGGGAGGAGACCCCGGGGCAGACCCAGGACCCACTGGAGAGATTATATCGCTCAGCTGGCCTGGGAACGCCTCGGGATCCCCCAGGCAGAGCTGGAAAGCATCGCCGGGGGGAGGGAGGTCTGGGACGACCTGCTCCGCGTACTGCCCCCGCGACCCGACCCCGGATAAGC